GACTATTTCAGGGCCAGCAGTTATTTTATAAATAGTGTTAAATCTTGGAAAGTTAAGACCTTTGGAGATATAATGGGGGGGGGGGGGGTAATTAATTGCAAGAATCCAAGGCATCCAAAATTCTAGGAACTACACTTGTAGCACCTTCATCCAAAATCTAGAATGTACTCTTAAGAAAGAATATAATGATATTCTTAAGATTGAAGAGGATTATTGGAAACTGAGGTCTAGAATAATATGCTTAAATGATGGGGATGCGAATACTAAATTCTTTCACATATCTGCCTCAAATAGAAGAAGAAAAAATAAAATTACTTACTTTAAGGATGAGGCAGGAAATTGGATTAATGACCATCAATTAATCATGTCTCATGTTTTAAACCACTTTACAAATGTTTTTACAACTTCACATACATGTACTCATTGGAATGACTTAGGGTTAACAGATTCTAGCTGCCCCACAATTGACCTTAACTCACTAGATAACCCACTCTTAGATAATGAGATTAAGAAGGCTATATTCTCCTTCAAACCTTTCAAAGCCCCGGGGCCAGATGGTCTTCACCCTTTTTTCTATCAAAAATACTGGAATATCATAGGACAGTCAGTTACAAAATTTTGCCATGATACTTTCAATAAACAGACAATTCCTAACGAAATAAATAAAACATACCTTTGTCTGATTCCTAAAGTCCCAAATGCTAACAACATTAAAAACTTTAGACCTATTGGCCTTTGTAATACTATCTACAAGATTATTACCAAAATTCTTGCAAATCGTATCAACCTTTTCTAGACAAAATCATAAGTCCCTTCCAAGCTAGCTTCATGAAAAATAGAAGAGCCTCGGACAATGCTATAATAATTCAAGAATTAATTTCTAACCTAAAGAGAGTCAAGGGCAAACATGGCCATATGATATTAAAAATCGACTTGGAAAAGGCCTTTGACCGTATAGAATGGTCTTTTGTCTATCGAACCCTTAGGTTTTTCAACTTTCCACCTAAATTCTCCAAATTACTTCTTAGTGGTATCTCATCAAGCTCTATTGCAATCCTTGTAAATGGTTCTACCACAACCTTTTTTGAACCTAGCAGAGGAATTAGACAAGGTGATCCATTATCACCTTACATTTTTATCCTTTGCTTAGAGATGCTATCTAGGTATATTGAAAATCAGGTCGACATTTGCAAGTGGGATCCAATCACATAGGAAGAAAAAGCTCTAGTCTATCCCATTTATTTTTTGCAGATTACTTGACTCTAATGGCTAAGGCAAATGAAAATTCTTGTTATGCCATTAAACAAGGCCTAGAATTATTTTGTTCATTATCCGGACAAAATATAAACCACACCTAGTCAAATATTCTCCCAAAACTGTAACTCTACTATCATGAATAGTATTATCAATACATTAGGTATTAAACGAAGTGAAAGCTTTAGTACATACTTAGGGTTTCCAATATTAAATAAAAACCAAAGCCAGCTGATTATCAACTTATAATTGATAAAATGAGGACAAGACTTGCCTCATGGAAAATGAGATTCATTAATATAGCTAGGAGAACCACCCTGGCTCAACCATGCCTAAATTCTATAGTATGCAATACACCCTACTCCAAAAGAAGACCATTAAAAATATTGACAAAATCCAGCGGGGCTTTATTTGGGGGACCAATGAAATTAGGAAAAAACTACACCTAGTTAAATGGTCAAATGTCTGTCAACCAAAGACTACGGGGGGACTGGGCATCCATAGTGCAAATACTAAAAATATGACTAATCTAGCAAGTCTAGTTTGAAGACTTCTTACACAGCCCACCTCTCCTTGGGCAAGGCTAATTATTACTAAATATGGAGGGGGGTGCTCTAAAATAAATCAATCCTTTATCTGGAAGGCCATTAGCAAAAGGTGGGAATTGTTCTAAGGGAATCACATGGTCACCCCACCTAAACTCTAACTTAAATATTTGGGATACAAGATGGCTCCCTAACTCCACAAGTCTAAGAAGTCAAATTGAAGCCCCCATTATGCCTAAAATTTACAATCTAAAAATCAGAGATATTTATACCGATCGCAAATGGGCCCTCACAAAACTATTAATGGATATCCCTACTGAAACCCATCAAAATTTCTTTAAGGACAAAATACGAACAAAGGGACCCTTGAATGACATTCCTATATGGTCTCTTTCATCCAAAGGAATCTTTACTATCAAAAGTTGCTATAATCTTATTGAACCAAATAACAAAAAATATTTGGACTATGATTGTATTTGGTCTTTATCCTGCCCAAATAAGATAAAAAAAAAATTATGGCAATGTCTCCATAATAGACTGCCATGCAGAAAATACCTTGCCCGGATTGGGATCAATATTGGTCCCCTATGTCCAATATGTGATATGAAGGAAGAAGAATCTATCATTCACATCTTTTTCAACTGCAAAATAAACAAATCTTTTTGGGATAATTTGGGTGGGATAACCTTTTATGATCCCACAAGGGAGCATTGGCTTGTTCAATTAAAAAATCAGGATTACTCCATGAGACACAACCTCCTACAATGGAATTATTTCCTCCCTTTTGTCCTATGGGAGATTTGGATAAACAGAAATGCAAATAATCAAAACAACTCAAGCAACTCTATTAACATAAACAATATTATCCAAAAAGCTGTGAAATTCAAGCTTCTCACGGAAAATAACCCACTTCCCATTGAAAGGATTCAATTACAAATCAAGTGGCACAAGCCCCCTAAATGATGGTTCAAATTAAACATCGATGCTAGTCATAAGGACTGCCAAAGTGGTATAGGAGGGGTATTCCGCAATGCAAATGGGCACTGGATTGTAGGATTCACAAAGTCCATACAGGCTAGGGGCTCTTTGGAGGCAGAACTAAAGGCAATAAAGGAAGGACTTAAAACAGCCCATGAGTGAAATTTATTCCCACGGGAAGTAGAGACGGATTGCGCTGAGGCAATACAAAATATACAATGCGGTAATAGACTTTTTGATAATATTGTTGATGTTTGCACGTCGTTAATATACCAAGGGAAGGTGATCCTCCTTCAGCACACATTTAGGGAAGGTAACGCTGTGGCGCACACCATGGCCAAGTTGGGAAGGACTCCAGGAAGGAAGGAAAAATAAGTTTTTGTATCCCCTCCCAATGTTGTTAATTCTGTGATGTATGATGAAGACAATCGTCTTTGTTTTGTTAAATATCTATCTATGGATGTTTGCAATAGACTAGCAAGCTTAGAAAATCAAAGTGTCCTTCGAGGCATGCAACAAAGCCATGTTGTAACAAACATTATGTAATTTTGTATATATGTTTTCCTGTTTGCTCAAAAAAAAAAACACCAAACCTGTTAACTTGTTTTGCCTACTCTGCTCTCTGCTTCAACTCCACTACCATGCTTATTGGCTAATTGCTCAGCAGATCTGAAATTCTTGCAACCATCTCCCACGAATCAAGACGACATTACTCAATGGAGCAGTCATAGAGTTGCGTAGTGGTGTCATTTTCTTCAGAATGACAGTTAACAGAATGGTATATCCAAGAAAATTAGGATAAACATCAATAGGCCTTTTACCTCAATAGTGGAGTCATTTTCTACAGAATGAAAGGAATGACACTGCTTCAGCATTAGCAAATCCATACAATAAAATGTTTCCATTAGAGTAATGACAAGCCTTTGGAATTGTCAGCAACTCGAACTCCAAACACTCAACTATCCAAATATTGTCATTGTTAAAACTATTTCTCAGAAGAGCTTCCTTAACATCTTCAGTTCCCACTTTTTAACAGGAATTAAGCCTCAACATCTTCTGTCCAATTAATTTAAAAAAAATTAACTTCAGTACTTAAAGGTAATTGGTTATAGTTAATTAACAAGCTTCTCAGGGGTTCCAAGTCTCGCGTGTCGACAGTTCCTCATTCTAGTTTTGAAATAAATCAAAGAACAGGACAACACCCTTGATCCATAGAATAATCCTTAATGTTTGTTCCTACGAATTTTTTGTATTTTTATTATGTAAATCAAAATCAAGACCGAAGTATACTTGCTTACGCACCTTCATTTGTGTTTGAAATACCTAAATTTTCTCTTTCTCGTTTTAACAATTTATTTATAATGAAAGTTGTAAACATTTTTTTTATACTATCACGTAACTTAACAAGTTATTTATAATCGGATTTTTATCGTTCACAATTTGTGTTTCTACCTTTTTTTCTCGTTTACCAACACAAATTTACTACATTATCCACGTCACCTAATAACGTATCTTTTTAATACTTGCTTACGCACCTTCATTTGTGTCCAAAATACCAAACTTTTCTCTTTCTCGTTTTAACAATTTATTTTATAATGAAAGTTGTAAACATTTTTTTATACTATCGTGTAACTTAACTAAATACACTAAAGTACTCTTTTTCAGCTCATCAATGCCCACCATTAAAAAGTCACATACTCATTGAGAATTTAAGCCTTGCATCTCTTATTGGGGCTTTCATTAATTAAGAACTTCCACCTATACATAACGTCTCAATATTTTAGTCGTACAGGCTGAAAGGTGCAGAATGTTACTACACGTTTGGATTTGAATTCCTGGCATATCCATTTGTTTCACTATTTTAACTGCTCCATCCTCGAATAATAAAGTAAAACTACATGGCAGACATAGGACAAGGATAAAGAACTATTACTATAAGTCCACCGAACCTTAAAATTTAGAGAACTAGTGCGATAAAAACAGAAAATAGCTAATGTTAACCCATGACCATGTTTATATTACAATAGTCCATCAGTTCAAACTGAGATAGCAAAAAGAAAGAAAACACGAGCATAACAGACATAACCGTAAAGTACTAATCTACTATAGCTTTGCATATGTAGCCAATCCTCTATATCAAGATATTGCAGATACTTTTCCCAAAACCTCCAAAAGACCAGCAGATGGTGATAACGAAGAGCAAACCGTCAACGAGGACTGCAAAGGGTGGGGGGGGGGGAAACAGCAGTCAAATCAGGGGAAATCGTCAAAGAAACCAGGTTAGCAGCATTTTTATAGTAGGAAGCTGGTAAAAAATACAACCCGACCACAAAAAGCTTTTCTAATCTTTTCTCCAGTAGTCACCTACTATCATCATGATCAGCAACTGTATGTCATGGGATATCCATAAAGGCCATAAAATGACAAGTCATATCTCGCGTCATTTAGTAGCAACAGCTCAAAGCCTCAAACACCAACTCTCTACCAAAAGGGTGCTGATTTGAGCTGCTATGTCATAGTATATCCATAACAGCCCTTCGAACCACCAAAAAAGGACAGCTGTATGTGTACATGAAGGAACAAATGCATACAGAGTACTAAAATATCGAAATGGCTTGCATTGTACAGGCTAGTTCAATTTAATGTTTCACAAACCTGTAGGACCTAGAGCGAGATCTGGCTGAGCTGTCTACATTTCTTCCAGGTCTATCGAGCCTCCTTGGGGCAGAGTCCAAATCATGAGCTATCGGACTATTATCTCTTGGACTCGGATTGGACCTACCTTTTTTCTGAATGCGTGGAGAATTTGACCTGGACATTTGCCGGGATTGTCTTGAAGATCTTCCATTCAACCTATAATCTCTTTCATCCCTTGGAGAAACAGACGGAGATTTTGACCTGCATCTCCTTGGAGAATAGTAATCATCCCGATTTTCACGATCCCTGTTTCTGTGAACCATAGTGTACTTAAGCCGCTTAATAACAAGTTCAATGTAGTTTTGCAGTAATCCATGAAGTTGAAAACAGTACAAACAAGTAAAACGACTAGCACTGGTTTTCAAATGACTGCTATTCCAACTCACAATGCCACAAACTACTCAAAAAATAAGGCCGGCACTTAAACAAACCATGAAAGGTAGATTCCTTCAATATCTAATCTACTGAACCGCAACCTTTACCTGTATCCTTATTTCAACAACAACAACATACCCAGTATAATCCCACAGGTGGGGTCTAGAGAGGGTAGTGTGCACGCAGACCTTACCTGTATCCTTATTTCATAGTCTGGAAAAAACTACAGTTTGATCCAGACTGTTTAAGCACTACATGGTACAGTTCTTCAGCATCGGATCACTTCAAAGTTCTTCTTTGCCCCAAATCTCGAGATAGCTTTCCTCGGGCATTCTCATGAAATGCCAAAGAGTAAAAACTTCAAAAATCTTTGCCTCTTTGAAGGTGAATTCTTTCTTTGGCCAACTAAAAGCTCTAAATTTTCTCTCTAACTGGATATTGTGCAACATTAAGAAATAAAACATGAATTTAAAGATAAGCAAATGAAGGTCTTTGTGACTGAAATATGTCCACATCACTTCAATTGGTTCTCCGAGGTACGATAGAAGGCTCATCCTTACTAGAAAAAAATCCAGAAAAGGAAAATCACATGAACTTTGATGATGGTGATTTGAAACTTCCGGAGATTCATCACATTTCATGAGCAAGTAATCTTTGACTTTATGGTCCCTTTTCTCAATTGTCTTTATTAGGCCAGAATTCTTTAAGTCTCTTTCTCAATTTAGCATCTGCATTAATAAAGCCACCAGCAGATGTCATTCAAAAATCTACAGGATAGATGACATATGCCTGCAAGACATTTGACATAATCTATAATAGTGTGTCCCAAATAAGTATTCAACAAAATTAAAAAGCTAAAGAACCTAATAAGCCACCACAACTCAACGGACGGAAATTAAAAAGCTAAAGAACCTAATAAGCCACCACAACTCAACGGACGGAGAAAGCCTCAGTATTCCAGGACAAGAAATAACAGATAAATAAATAGAGAAAAGATCAATTCCTAAAATCAAGTGGATAGAGTGAGGCAACCACCACTTTGGCAGATATAAATATGCTACATCACTATCCTAAGTTCCTAACCTCCAAAGAGAAAAAAACAAACATAAAACAATCTGATACCAAGGAAGGAGTGTTTTATGCCAAAAAAGGGTGATTACAAACAAAATATAATCATTACAAAAAATAGGCAAGAAAAATAGATAAAGCAACAATACAGAGCGCCTTGATGACGCAAGGCAAATAACTGCAATTTTACAAAGAAGTAGCTCATTGACGAAGGACATGCACCAGAATGCTGAAAAGGAATCAATCAGATCAACATGCAAAGTCTCTCTTTAGAGCAACATTTATGAAAATGACCAATTTTGTCTTGATAGTTGAAATTGTGCACGTCAGGCAATGAAATTGCTGCTACTATGACTACAGGCTACAGATTTATTTTATCCCAATAGATGTTCTTACTAGATTTTGTCCCATTAGAATCAGTTGCAGTCCTTGCTCAAAGACAAACAAACAATAGGAGAAATACAAGCAAAGCTTCTGTTATGAAATACAAACCTTGAGTCACGTCGTGCTGGGGAAGCCGAGCGCGAGTAAGCTGCCATAGAAAATTCTATACCATTACTCTTAAAGGAAGACAATACTCTTGACTCTAACAGTACTAAGTTTACTTCTTTCTTCTCTTTTTCCTTTTTTAATTTCGGAGGGGTGGGGGCCTCAATGCAATATCATACAAATCAGCATCAAAAGTTAAATGAGACATTGAGAAAGTAAACAGTTACTTTTAGTAATAGAGTTAAAATTCAAACTGACAGTGATATCTGCGACTTGGGAACCTTTGTGGACTGTGTCTCCTGTAGCTGCCTCGAGCACTAGGTCCGCTAGTTAAACAGGAAAATAGACTTAGATTCACTGTGGGTGAATAATACTTGAGCTGGAAAAGAGATTGATAATCAACATGATTGCAACTCGAAGCAAACCACATATATGTAGCACCTTGTGCGTAAAACCCTATTCATTTCTTGAGGGGTCTTTCGATTCTCCTCCGCAAAAACAATTTTAATTTCACGTCCACCAATAACTGTACAGTTTAAGTGTGCTTTTGCTTCAGCTGCATCTTCGGCATAACGGAACTTCACGAAGCCAAATCCTCGTGGTTCCCTACATATAAGTTGAGATTATTTTTAGAAAAAGAAATAGAAAGAACGTCACAGCGAACTTGCTTACATTGCTGATACCCCAGTCCAAAACTTAGATAAAGGAGGGGTACAATACGTTACAGTCAACGTAAAACTTGTCGATTTATGGAAGTGAGGTTGCTTGATGTGATTAGGTTATGTCTTACATAGACCTCCAGGAGCATCGGCTAAAAAGTGTGAAACATGATGGTTGAAGATGTTAAAAGAGAATGAGGTAGAATCAAAGCCACATAAAATGCAATTGTCTTGAAAAATCTACTATCTCTCGAAATTCATACAAACTTAGAGACAAATAGAGCATACAGAAAGAAAAAGATCACACATATAGACGATACAAACTAGTTGAGATTAAGGCTGTGTCTTCTTGATATGCTCACTAGGTCTAATATTTGCTAGAGGAGTTTTTCAATCATTGTGGGAGATTTGTATGACGATAAAAAAATGCAGAGGACTTCTAGTATTAGAGCCTAATTTACTGAATATTGGAACGAGACATCTAGATGAAGCGAAAAGGATAGTGAAGATTCATATTGCCGACCCTAACTAGCTTGAAACTAAGTCGAAGTTCGGTTGTTATTGATCATAGTGATATTAACAAATAGCAGGACGTGGAAATAGACCCATATTGCAGAATACAGTACCAATTGAGAAGCCATATTATCAAGGCGTATGCATACCCAGTATAGTAATTCTTGGGCAGATAGACATCTTTTACGGGACCAAAACGTTCAAAGGGGACCCTGACATCTTCTGGCCTGCAGAACAAGCACAAAATGATTAACTTTATCCACAACTATAACAACATCTGCTTAGAGACTGAGAAAGAGAGGGAGACAGAGAGAGAAAGCAATCTTCAGTTTATGAAACAGAAATGGAAAACAAATCAACCCAACCTTTAGAAAGATGGAGTGCTTCAACTTTATTAAGCCATATTAACTGACAGGCAGAAACTACTGAATAAATTCAGCAATCTGCAATTCATTTTTTTTTCTAGCTATATTATTTCAAAAGGTTTTAAAAGCCATCTGAAATATAAGAAACCATAAAGCCCACATGTATCAATGTTTGTAGATAAGGAAGATAGCTTAGTGCATAGCATCATAACTCAACCTCTCCGTCAGAGATAAGGCATCTGCTAGTGCTCGAAGGAGCAAATCTAGGTGTTAAAGGATTTGGATGTGTTTGAACATGTAAGAAACTTGTTACTAGTCTAAAACACGGTCATTAAAGAATCAAAATAAAAAGTGTCCATTGTCTAACGGATAGCAAGGAGAAACCAGATAAGTGAGATCTCGCGTGAGTGTTTACATAAATCTTCTTGTGTCTGAATAGTTGATTGATAGATCAATCAATCCCTAATTTAATTATCTTTTGCAAATACAAGTCAAAAAAAATGAAACTCAAACAACTCATTGATATGGTGTTCATTACATACAATATATAGCATTGAGGTGTCACTACAATGTTCATGTGCCAATTGATCCAATTTCCTTGGAGAACATTCATGAAGCTAGTCCCTGAAACGATGAGAATAAAAAGGTGTTGATGGATATTGTAATTCAAATTCGATTGATGTTGCTGAGACAAGTTCAGGAGGACTTTTATGGTGTGCGGGGAGCTCAAGTTAATGCCTCCTTCCATTTTGAAATGTTCCAAAATGTTAGACAAAATTTCACTCAGCGTCATTAAAATCCATCACTTTGTCGCTTAAAGGGGTGAAAAGTGATAAAAGGTGAAGGCTTATCACTTTATGAGTGAAGCCATACGCTTCAAAGAACTGTGCAATTCAAATAATGACACGCAAAGAGATTGCAACATGAAGCGGTCAGTTATTTGAATCTCAGCTTTCAGAAGTTAGACTAGCATAGACGTTATTGCATACTGGATGCTACAAATAGTTATGTCAGCTGCAATTTGATTATTATAATACTATATATAAGTTTGATAAATTTTTATTTCATAAATTGCTGGCTTCACTTCAAGAAAGCAGGCGCTTTATTTCTCGCTTTGCGCTTCAAATCCCATGTACCTCGCGGCTTTTGTGAGATTTTCGCTTTTAAAACCTCCGGTTCTACTAATAATAATATCCAATACAACTTATATAACTTTCAAGAATCCCAGTTTATTTTTATTATTGAAATTGTGAATTTTGATTTGAAATTTCCTCTATTAAGCTGATTTTTGGACCAACAATATTAATATCAGACTAATTTCACAAAGGAACATACATCCTTGAGTTCAAGTAGGAGAATTCAGGAATCGAGCAACACCTAAATATATTACATATGAAAACATAAATTATGATATCCCCAAAAAAGTAGTATGAGGACCCAAAAGCCTCAATGCAAAATCAAATTGAGGTCGACAACGGCATGAGCTATTAACGGGGCTGCAGTCAAGAGGTGCACCGTCAATCGACATGCCTAGGGCACTACCTGCTAAGCAGAAATGTCATAAGAACAGCTCAAATCACCCCTCAAAAAACTGGTAAAATCCAGAAATAGCTATTTTTCAGCCCCTGTAATTGAAAAATTGCCACTTTCATGGAGTTTCTACAAGTGATGAAACTCCAGTATTTTTCAAAGACAGGACCAAAATATGGTCAGTGGGCGCTATCTCTACCTCAAACGACAAAAATTTCTATGAAGCAATAAAATCAGATAAATGCATGTTAAATATTTCAATAATGAAATTGATAACGAAAAAATCTTTCAATAACGAAATTGATTTTGCAACAAAAGATAACCCTAACTTGCGCGTATGTTCATAAAAAATGATTAATACCTGGCGCTAAGGGAGATGTTACGAACAAGAAGGCCAGAGGGTGCGGGAGAGCGACGGTCGCAGCGACGGTCACGTGGTTCGTCGTAGCGTTTACGTCGTACGGGGCTGTAACTCCTGCTACGGCTTCTGTGCCTTCCCATTACCCTCGTCGTCGTCTGTTCACTGTGAAGTGAAAATCTAAAACCCTAGTTCGATTTCCTTGGAATTGAAATTGAGAACCTTAGCCCTGGAAAAAAGAGGGATTGACGTGACCTTTAATAACAATAGTATCTGTAGCTGCGCTTTGGGCGAAGAATAATGTAAAAATAGCACGGTATAGCCAGTTTTCGGACTGGTCATTCAAAAATAGCCAGCATTTACCAAATCAATAAAAAATAGCCACTATTTTGCTGCAGCAGAAACCGGTCCAGCATAATATACTGGAGTTCGGTACACCTGTGTATGAACTCCAGCATATTATGCTGGACCGGTATACTTTGCTGGCTCCAGTATAATATACTGGAGACTGGAGCACTGGTGCTCCAAACTCCAGTATATTATGCTGGACCGGTATACTTGCTAGAACTCCAGTATATTATGCTGGAGTTCTAGTGTACTTATGCTGGAACTCCATCATATTATGCTGGAGTTCCAGCATACTTATCTTGGAACTCCAGTATAATATGCTGGAGTTCAAGTATACTTATGCTGGAACTCCAGCATAATATGCTAGCGTATTTTCCGGATTTGAACAGTGTTTTCGCTCAGATTTATCTTTACATGAAAAGTGGCTAGATATCGATTACTTTTGAAACTGAGCTATTTTTGAACGACCAGTTGTAAATCTGGCTATTTTTGAATTTCACCCAAGAATAATAAATATGTATAATTTTTCGAGGAAAAGCCCAAAATCATACTTCATGTTTAGCTTTAGATCCCGTTTGGCCAAGCTGCCAAAAACTGCTTATTTTAAAAAGTATTTTTTTCAGAAGTTCTTTATACAAAAATACTTTTGAAAAACAAAACAGTTTGTGTTTAGCATATTCGTTTAAGAAGTACTTTTTACAATATTTGGTAAACAAATTGTGTATGGCCGATCTTTCTAAAAGTATTTTTAAGTGTCAAATTACCAAAAAGGATAGTACCAAAGTCTTATAATTATTTTAAAGAGAAAAATGAACTTTAATATTCATCATAAGAGACTTTTAATATTTTTTGTTTTATTTAATTAAAAAATAAAATGTAAAATAAACATACATATTAAAAATTTAAATCAATATAACACACACATATATATATATATATATATATATATATATATATATATATATATATATATATATATATATATATATATATATATATATATATATAGTTATAGCAAATCATATAATATTATTTAGTATAATTACTTATTATTTACATGATGATTTGAATAATCAAAATACATCATTCAGTATGAATTAGAAGAATATTCCACCAATTACTATATATTGGTAATCCACCATGAAATAATAAGCAAAGTCGCTCACACATGATAACATTTATCAATAATTCATCTCTAATTCTATCACACAACGCCTCCATATTAGTAGAAGACTTGCCTTGCATTTCTAAAGAAATACCAGAAGACCCATCTCCTTCCTCAATCTCTGCAGTAGTGTCTTTATTAGCATAATAGTTGAATTCCTTATCGGTAGAAGAATATCGTCGGGTGAAATGTTGTATAGCTATGGTAGCTGTGACAAGATGATTTTGAGTGTTAAACTTGAAAGATGACATTGAGAATAAAATAGAAATAATTTTAAATATATACAGATTTATTGTTTTCGTAAAAAAATTAATTAAGTATGTTTAAATTCAAATTCAAAAAGAGTAACTAATTATTAACAACAAATAATGCATAATTTAAATTCAAAAAAATAATTATTACCTAACCTAACTTTGTCCTAATTGCCAAGTGGCTTATTGTGAGGTTGCCACTAGGCTTAATGTGGAGGCTTTTTCTTCTTCTTTTAATAATATATAGATTATGCGATATAATTATAAATTTATTACCTATTTGTAGGTAATTTTCACAAATTAGATTTGATAACTGTTTTAAAAATTCGGGAATTAATAGCCTATAAGAGAAGAAATTATAAATGATTACTTGTAAGAAGATAATTGATAATCTAAAGAAGGATGTAGATAATTTACTTTAGTGTGGAAAAAGAAAAAGAAGATTTGGAAAGTTAAAAGACATTATACAAAGAAAAAATAAAAAACAAGATAAGTCAATAAAGAATTTGGAAAGTTACAATATGATTCATGTATATGATATCTTTAAATTTAAAAGAATGGTAAAAACAAAAAACAAAACTGAAAAAAAAAATCCTTAAATCAATAAGGGATAATTGGAAAATATAAATTTATAGTAAGGATAGTTTTGTCTTGAATAAATTAATTTTCTGCTTCTGCTTCTTGGGAGAAGCTAAAATTTTCTGCTTCTTCCCAAAAGCAGAAAAACTGCTTATGCTACTGGCCAAAAGTACTTCTCTGTCTTGGCCAAACAGCCTAAAAAATTTTAAAAGTACTTTTTTGTGGAAAAAAGTACTTTTGGCCTCCCAGAAGCTTGGCCAAACAGGCTCTTAGACTTCAAATAATACACATTCTTTAACATGGTGCACTACTAATCCTTTTCTTTAATAAAGTGGTACAGTTTTAATTACAATCCTAAACACCGTTAGTTTTTTAATGGGGCTCAACTTCAATATTGTTTCCGCAGCTCTCAACAACCTGGTGCAGGGAAGACAAATGAACTTCCAACATAGTCATTCCGTAACACCCAAAATATAGTTAACGAAACTGAGTTCCATATCTTTCTACTGATTTTTGGTGTTTTCCAATATGATATCTCAATCGCAGGAATTCACAGAGAACTCGAGAATTGAAGAGCTGAGTTAGGAGTTTGACGGAGAAACTCGGAGATCACAACTTATGAAATGTAGAATTTGTAATTGAGAGAAAGAAGATTGAGAGAGAGAGAGAGAGACTGTAATTGTATTTCATTAGATGATTGTAAAATGATACATTATAGCTCTTTTATGAATGAATACATGACTCATCTTTCCATAAACTTCCTATCTCCAACTAACTGTTCTAACTAACTTCCTTCAACTAACTTCCTAACTAACTTTCAGCTGACTTGGCATAACTAACTAACTGATTTAGCTAAGCTAGAATCTCCTATTTGAGTGGGCTGCGATCATGTTGAATTTAGCATATCAATACTCCCTCCTGCAAAAGATCCTTGTCCACAGGGATCAAAGTGAGAAACCTTACCTTCAGTGCATTCAGGAATTCCCATGCAGCATAATCTGGAGGTAACCTTGTCCATTTAATCAAGACTTGAGCCACAACTTTCCTTTTTGACCATTCTCCTCTCTAAGATAGCTTCAGGATTTACACAATGTGGACTAGCAATATCAGTAGTGGGAGGGTAAGTGATTTGTGTTGGCAATTCATGGCATTTTTACTGATGGAGGAAATAGTAAAGTGTAGGCCACAACTCCCACTTTCATGACAATCTGAAATGGTTCATAGTATTTAGCAGAGAGTTTATGGAATACTTGAGTAGTAATGCTTACATGTCTGTAAGGTTGAGTCTTGAAGTTAACCCAATCCCCTACTTCAAAGTATCACTCCTATGAGAATTAGCCTGCAGCTTCATTTTCAGCTGAGCTCTCAATAAGTGGTGTTGCAGCAGCTGCAGCTTCATTTCTCTGTTGATCAAAGTGTTGTCCACATCAGCTGAAGCTGATTCACCTGGTAGATAAGGCAAGTGTAGGGGTGGTGGTCTTCCATATAGGGCCTCATAAGGGGTGGTTCTTATGGTTGAGTGAAAGGAAGTATTGTACCAATATTCAGCCATGTATAGATAAGAATTCTAGTCAGTAGCTTCCTCAGAACAAAAGCATCTCAAATATGTCTCTAGGCATCTATTTAGAACCTCGGTCTACCGATTGTTTGACCAAAAATTGTGTACTTCGGTCAAAGCTTATTTTTAGAAGTACTCGGGCTACTGATAATCAAGAAATTCTATATTTTCTCGGTGATAAGAAAGGAAATGAAATAGCAAAGTAATCAATAGAAAGCAAAAGACAATAATTGTATTCCAATAATAATTAGAACGTGTCCTTACAAGTGAAATCCCCTTCCCTTATATAGGAATCTATAAGTACAACGTCCCTTCCCTTTTATGTTTGAATCCTTATGAATATTATGATATTAATGAGACATTATAATTGGTAATCGTAACTGTTTATGAAGATTCTGTAACATCTATGATCATTAATGCACATTAACTAGCGATTCATGAATTTTCCTGTTTTGCTGTCTTGATTCATTATGCCGGTGTCTCTTAATGTAGCAATTTAGACTCGAGCGATCATACCTTCTTATCTCGTGGGTGATTTGCTCGTACCTATTACGACTCGTGCCTCTTTTAATGTATCTCTCCAGTTGTCGCTTTCTTAATGATCCACGTGTCTTTCCACATCAGCCACTTATATAAATCCACGTGTAATAATTATTTTTACCAATACAGATAGTCCCCCCCCCCCACTTATCAATTATTCAGCAATTGAATATTTGGGAAGTGGATCACATTTATGGCGGGAATTTTTTGCCGCCGTTTCTCATGTATCATTATGTCTTCTTCAGAACCAACGCGTCGTATGTCACTTCTATTTAATGTCTGTGACACGTGGCATACATTGATTGGGCCTGCAACTCCTCGGTGGTTTTTAGGGCTTTTCTGCGGCTGCATCAGTCACGAAGTGATTGTTTTCATTATGACGTTTCCATCATGAACCCCTTCGTATGACGGCTGCTTCTTTGTATAAATACCTCCTTATACCTTTGCTTTCACGAAAACCTTTAATCTACAGTATTCTTCTTCCATAATATTTCTTGTTCATCAGGTCGTATTATTTTCTTATACAACCATGTCTTCTCCAAATCCCAATCCTCGTAGAGTAGTTATAGTATATGAACTTCCCCCTTCATCTGCTCCTATCAGAAGTAGAAGAGGTGGCAGATTACGTAGTTTAGAGTCTGTATCTATTCGTGGTTCTTCTTCTCAACCTAGTGTTACTACTCCTTCGTCCTCTAGAACTAGGGCTCCTTCTTCTCATAGATCTTCTACTAGAAGTAGGGATTCCGGTGAACCTCTTCGAGAACCAACTGTTGATGAGATTGTCCCTGCTGAACTTTCTTTTTCTACTAATCGAGAATCA